TGCATCCTCACAACAAAAACTATTACAAATCCTTTCTGCAGCTGAGTCATTCTTTAACATGGCCAATATACAAATTAACTCTTTCAAATCTGTATTTACAACTAATAACAAACAAATTAACTATACTCCTATCATATGCAATGACCATCCTCTCAATCTTCATTTACCAAATGAACTATTCAAATTCCTTGGATGCTGGTTTACACTTAATAACAAACAAGCCAAACAAACCAAACTCATTACTGCAAAATCATCACATCTTGTTAAAATTGCAAGTACCAAACAAATTACTAATACACATATACATTATATTATCAATACTATCATTATTTTCACAATCAAATATTAACTATATAACATTGTTCTTAATCAAAATATATATAACAAAATCCTTACAAGTCACATAGAACTTGTTAAAAGTAAAGCCAAACTTAGTCACACAATTCTCACTAGCACATTACTTCACCTCTAGCTATATAATATCCATAACATATAGAATATTCAACTACAACATTATATTACAAATTTTACCAAAAGACTTAATTCTCCCAATCTATTAAAAATAAGTATTTGCATTAGGCTCTACTAACTTTAGAACAACTTGTGATCATTTATTAGTATTCTGATACATGATAATTCTATCATTGATGGGCCTAACAAATATACTATTAACTTTAAAATTATTTAACTTTTTAAACATCTTGGTTTTATATTTTCATCTAACCCATTATACAATATCCTATATACTATTTAAGAAGAATCCATTCTACTTGAATCATTACTTTCATCATATTCAAAATACTCAATTTTCAAAAAACAACTTAGATACTATTGTATTCTTTATTTAGATCAACTAACTATATTTAACAACTCATGCCTTTTAAACTGAAACACATATCTACACATATAAGCAAAATTCTTAAAGGCAAACAACCACTTTGGTTTAATTATTTAGAAGACCAACTACAAGCCATTTATATGATTGCACTCTTTATCAACATTTATACTTACCTAATACAAATTACTATAGTTATTCAACTAGACACTTTTCTTTACAGAAAAAACCATGACTTATTACAGTACTTGGTAATCAAATTATTACTGACAAAGCCAGAAAACAGCTTTTTTTTTTAGGAACTATCCTTATTACTCACTGGCAATGCTATATAGAACAACAATTTACTTGTTTATATCTACTTTCAACTATTTAGTTGCTAATATGTCCAGTTTGCTCTCTCAATTCTTACACAATTGCCAACAAATATACAATCAATATTTCTATCAATCTCTTCTCTAGATTCTTTAATCAAGTCAATATATATAACAAAATTCTCAACTTTAATGCAAACTACCTTGATCTTATATACTCTATTGCAATTCAACATCCTATTCAAATTCCTAACCTCTCTAATATCAACATTACAACATATTTAATTTCAATGATATTTGAACTCAGTACTTTAACAAACAACTTTCAACAAATTGCTAACTATAATGCACAATTATCAGAATTTCATTTTTATACAGATGGCTCTGTCATCAACCTGAGCATCTCACAATGCTCTATAGGCATCAGATAGGCCCAAATTCTAAACAATAATATACTGTATACCTTTCAAGCCCAAATAAGATACTGGCCTTGCTTATTTAAAGCTAAGCTTATTGCTATCTTAATAGATCTTATTATTGTTTCTAGAAACTGTACTATACATATATATACTAACTCACAATTCATAATCTCTAAATATTACAGTCTTTCAAACTCAACTTATACTCTATTTTATATATATACATTATATTTTTCATTATAAAATAGACTTATTAACTTTGTCAAATCATACAATATTTATATTATTTTTCACAAAATTACTGCTTATTAGGATGATCAGTACAATAATCTTGCTAACCAACTTGCACACAGTTACCACAACCTGCTATATCTTACCTTTATGTTTTATAATATCTACAATTTATATATATTTTAAATTTTAAAAACTTTTTTTTAGAACTATCTACTTGTTACAATATCTGTACAAGATGTCATACACATATTTATGCACTATGGATCACATAAAATTACTTTCAAAAATGGTACAAAATTTTTAACCAAGTTAATTGGCAAGCCATCTGGTTATATATCAACAATAACCAAAAAATCTAAAACTTTTTATATAGTTTTCAGTCTTCTACTCTTAAATTCTTTAAAATTAAGGGTAGGGTGTCTGTAGATCATTTTTCATATGATCAATGTAGTATTTTAAAATTTTACATATAAGTCAAAAATACACCCCTATCGTGACCAATTTTTATGAAAACTTGGTGTTATATAGAATGAACCTTTATTTTTATAGTCATGAAATTCTAGAACATGTTATATTTAAAAAATGTCACCTTCGTATATCATCGAATTTACTTAGGTTACTTCAAATTTACTTAGGTTGCACAAAAAAAAGAGGTTCTACCTGCTTCTAGAATAAATTAGCATCCAATCAGATTTGAGAAGAATCTTCGTAAGTATACAAGTAATTTCGAGCCTATAATCCCAACCCACACTTATCGTTATGAATATCCAACAAGCTAAGTTAGCCTTTAGAGATCCCGAAGTTCGTAACCTCTATATTTACAGTATAACATCCATAAGTCCACCTCTTTAAGTGCACATCCTCTAAATGCACAATCAACTTCGGGCCCAATATATATGTAGCCTCTATAAATGCACTTTTCTCTAAGTGCACATTTGATCCCAAGAGCGTGCACTTATAGAGGTTTTACTATACATAAATATATGTTCAACTCATATTAGCAGCATTTGAACCTAATTATACACTACTTGCTACAAACTTGCTTCAATTATGTAAGAGCGTGAAAGTCCGAATCAAGGTATGTACGTACGTACTAGCAAGTTGTCAAGAATATTTGATTTAAGGGTTAATAAAGTAGTATTATGTGATAATTTTGTTCGTATGAACAGTTAACATAGGCTCATAGAATTTAATTTTTATAGGTAACTTTTTTTTAATGCTTCAAATGCTACTGCTGTAGAGTACTGTCCAAAAGATCTCCTTTGAATACCCATGCAAAATACCTTCGCAAAACACAAGATCTCTATTAATTAAATATGAGTTTTTTAAATTTCTAGACTGTTTATTGTAAATATAGAATATGTATTGAAAATTTTCTTCCTTGTGATACAGGCCCGCTGAAGTATAATATACCCGGGTCTTTGTTTTTTATAACTCTCTTTGGTGGGTATTTTGTATTAGGCCCCAGGTCTATTAGGCAGTACTTTATGGCTTTCTCATTTGTTCATGTTAGAATAAGGTTATAGGAAAATCAAAGTTATTGAAGTATTTTTTTTTTTTTTTTTTTTTTTTTTTCTTACAATTCTGTACGTATTATTACAATTTTTCCCAACATTCATCCTAATTTGCATTTTCCATCATACTATTTTACTATATATACTTTCTTACTTAAGATCAAATGTAACAACCAGAAAAATTTAATTTCAAGTGCTAAGATATGATTGTTGCCAAGAAAAAAGGCACTACGGAGTTTCAATTATAGTTTGTACTAGACATGATTCTTAATAAATTAGATAGATCATGTCCGGTACAAAATATAATTGAAACTCCATAGTGCCTTTTCCCTTGGCAGCACTCATATAAGTGAATGTAAGCATGTATTTATTATCAAAGATATGAATAAATTCTAAAGAAGTGTACATCAAAATAACAGTACAATTTCGATAAAAAAAAAAAATCATTATAATTACGCTACGCCTTATAATCTATATTTAATTTACTTATGCAAGCGATCTTTATTATTTTAATAATAAATAATAATGATAATAATAATGATAATAATAATCATTATCATGATAATTATTTGTATTACAATTATCATCACTATTATTAGAAGCAAGCTTATAATAAACCATAACTACTTTCAAATGAAAATCATATTAATAGGTTTTATAAAAAATTATAATAAAAAAGAATTTAATAACCACCATCTTGTGAAAAATTTTAATGGTTATTGTGGTCGTATCGCAAAACTTCTGAAGAAAGTCTTATTTTCTATTAAAAGCAAAATAAAAAATTAGCAATGCTTGAATATGTGCAATTGGAAAAGGATGTAATAAATAATCTACGCAAACAATGGTGATTCTGTCAGGAAAAGAAACCTCATTTACTTATTGAATATTGTGACTATACAAGTTCAGAACGGTCCTCTAGTACAAAATTAAAAATATTACGTGAAGTATAAAGAAAGATTAGTTCACAACGTTAACTATATAAGAATACCTGTATCACTAAAATAGATTCCGCAATTAGCCAATTAAAATAATACATCAATTTGCCTGCCAGTTGTAAAAAGGGAAATTACCACAACTGCAGACCCCATGATTTCTGCAGCAAGAATTGAACCTAACATTTGAACAAGTTTCTCACGCCTCGATTGAAACCTTTCATTGATGCCTCTGAAGCCATTTTTCCCTTTCACCATCCACTTACAAGGTCAGTCATACTGTTGAGCTCGGATCCCATATGCAACTATAGAATGTTTACTGTATTCTAGAAAAAAAATAAAAATAATACTTATTTATATCTTACTTTCTGTTAAAAACAATGTAACTTACCTAATACTACAGGGATTGATATCCAATTTCAAATCTGTGTTACTTGATCTTCATCTGTATCCCTGTATTTTATTTATTTGTAATACTTATTCTTGCCTGTGCATTATTTATTTCCTATTTTTTATTGCACATATTCTTATACCATATTGCTGCCTTATATAGTCATTTATTCATACATAGTCTTTATTTGCCCATAGCTGTATTGTTGGTGATACAAAGTTAGGTTGTTATTGTGTACTCAATTATGGCATGTAGGGGCACAATTGTTCAATATTGGATTCACAAATTAAATAGTTGAAAAAATGTAAGTTTCACATTCCGGCTAATTTGTACATTAGAATTGGTATTGATGTTTTCATAGTATCCAAGATAAGAAAAATGTTGTCCAGAGATTACTGATCTTTGAAAGTAATTGGGGCGGTGCTATTGGTAAAGAGATGGATAACATTTTCAAGATGGATGCCAATATGGGCAAAAGCACTGAGGAAAGATGCCCTATTGGTATTAGGAAAGGGCATACTAGTGATGAATGGTTGAACAATGTAAGGTAGTTTCCTCGATAATAGAGTAGTTTAAAAATTTGTATTATTCTCGAATGTATATAAAGACTTATGTTTGGATGAATAAAGTTTTCTCAGATTTTGATTTTAAAAATATAAAATAAATTAGTATAACCTTAACAATTGAAATTAAAAAAATCCCTCTAAACATAAAATCTAAATAAAAGCAAAAAATGGTTAAATGGTTCGAAAGTTGTGTTGCCTAAATGCCAGACAAAAGAACCTTAATAGACAGTTCAAGAGATATATATGTTGTTAGAGAAATTGATCTAGAGTTGGAAGTCTTACCTTTACATGATCATTTTCAAGCAATTTCACTAAAACAAAAGAATTCTTCAATGGCTGGATATTATCATTATAAGCCAAAAACTGGACAAGACAAGTGGATTCCTTTATTGCCTGGATATTCCGTTTTTTTCAAATAGCAAAGGAGTTTGGAAATGTAGTATCATAAATGAAAATTATCATCTTAAATTTCAGTGGCAAGCTTATGAAACCAATTCCGATTTTCAACAACTATCGGAACCACCTGATTATGATTACCGTCTTTTTAAATAATTGATGGAACGGTACGATCCAAATGGTAAACGCTCTTTACCTTATCTGCTTGGATTTTTACAGCCTAATAACATTAACCTTTTATGAAGAACTGTCTCAGAACATTATCCCAATCTATTTCCGAATATACAACAAATGAAGAGTGCATTGAAAACCGAATCCTTATTGCATGCTAACTTAAAAAAAAAAGCAGATCAAATAAATAATCAAATTGATGAAATGACGAAAGAATCAACAAGCGTTCCTGTATAATATAATATATTGTTAGAAAAAGAAGTTAAAACCTTACCTCCAGAAAGTATCCAAGCATTGATAACAGAATATAAAAAAAGTGGTTCAAAAATCCACAATCTCAATCGACAAATGATTAGACTCAAAAGAAAAATAGAACTATTAGAAGGAGAATTAGAAAAAACAACTACTGATCACAATGAAGCAGATTTGTTATATGAAGAAGATTTGTTAGAATCAAGCATAATAAATGCAATCGAATCCGCTCAACTTGGTTCTACTATGTTAATTTCTACCAAACAATATTTTTCATTAATACTTATGCAACCATATCATGGTTGCAATAACAGTGACCTTGAAAATAAAATTTTAAATGTAGCATTAGTCGGATTTCATATTAAAAGCACAGTAGAATGCAAACAATGCATTACTATCTTTGAACATACCAACGAAGCACAAGAAATCAACTTAACAAAAGCCGTAGCAGTTTCTGGACTTGCGAGAGGAATATCTCATAATGCAATTCTAAGTTCATTAGCCATAATAGGAATTACGAATCAAGTAGGAAATAAGGCATATTATCGTCACCAAAAATCATGCTTTGACCCTCTTGTAGCCACCACAAACTTCTGTACAGAAGAAGCTCTAAAAAAAATGTATCGAACATACATTATCACAAAACTAAAAAGCTCTATCCATAGGGTTTGATTGTTTATGGTCTCACATACGAAATGCGAACCAAGCTAGTAAAGAACTGATATATCAAGAAGCACCGTTTGGTATGATAATTCACCTGCAAACATTAATTTGACTTATAACTAATTTCGATATTGTTTTACTATTAGATTATTCTCATATGCCAATTATCGCATTTCATGTAGTTGAAAAAACAAGATTCATGAAAAAAAAAAGTCAGAACTTAATAAAATAGTCCACAAGGGCAATTTTGATAAAACTTCAAGACAAATGGAACATGCTATTCTTATTGAAGTACTAAACAAAATTACTCCATCATTAGAAAATGCCGACTTGCACTTGGAAATATGCAATGATGAAGATCTAGACTCGAATAAAACTCTTGCGAATATACCCATCGTGACTGGTGTCTATGCTGACCTAAAACATTTAACTCGTAATATTAGAAATTCCATACGCAGTAAGTAAAATATTTTATAATTTAAAGTATTTATAAGTATCAATTATTAATACCTTTTTAGACAAAAAAACAGTCAGTTTCATGCATTCGAAGACCATATTATGCATTGGTTTCATGGATGCATTTATTCGACAGCCTTGAGAAAAGCCGAAGAGCATTCTGATGCGCCATCTGAAGAAGACACACGAAAAATGCAGATAGAAGGTCTTATTAATCATCTACAAAATAACCATTCAGGTTGTTGGCCAGATATATGCTGGACAAAAGATGATCCTGAAATTATTTTACAAGAGCCGACTCTCTGTAATTCTTCTGACAAAAGGATTGATGAATTTTGAGAACTTCTCGAAACAATTTATAGTTTACCTCGTGGCCAAAGAATCGTCACATTTAATCGAACGTCCCAGAATGAAGCATTCAATAGGGTAAAGCTTGTATATCTGGACAAAAAAATTGATTATTGGTAATCATATGCTGCGCGTCATGCAATGGCTGTGTTATATTACAATGAAGGATATACTTATCTACTTTCTGAACTCTGAGAAATTTATTGTAAAAAACCTTTTGAAACAGAAGACTTAGTAAATATTAATGCAATAGAAATAGAATGTATTGCAAAACAACAATGGAATATAAAACAAATACAACAACGTAATCAAGCGTGGGCTGAAACCTATGCTAATGAGCGAAAGGAACTAGTTGGCTTCAATTTTGATCAGGTAAATTATAACTAATATAAAATAAAACTTCAATATTTATTTACCATAATAATTCTATAATCCAGGAATTAGTTCCTTATAAGCTAAAAGCACAGGATCGAATTCATGTTAATGAGTTTTATCCATCCTTTGCTTCATCAATTACAGACTTTGATGTCACAATATGATGTATTTGTTGCAATGTTTTTTCAAAACATTTCAAAGGATTATGCTCACTGTGCCATACGTACCAGCTCTTTGGTTGAAAAGAAAGACTTATAAATCCAAATATAATGCTACAAGATGAGATGAACATACTTTTTACTTTAAAAGATCACGTTAACATAATTGCAAAGAAAATTTTTAAATTTTCTGAATTGAGGCCAGGTCAAATTGATGCTATAAAATATTATATAGAAGAAGAAAAGGATACACTTGTAATTATAAAAACAGGTGGTGGAAAATCATTTTGTTATATGGTTTCTTCTATCCTTTTCGACAGTCTTACAATTGTTATTTCGCCATTAAAATCTTTAATCCAAAGCCAAGTGGTTAGTATAAGCATTTATATTTGAATACTAAAACAGTATCTAATCAACTTTACTTTTAGAATCAATTCGTCCAGTTAGGGATTCCATGTGGTGGATTGCTAATGTCATCTCAAGGAACAATCGAATATGAATCAAAAATTTTTGAAGAAATAGCTCTTGGGTTTACCCGCTTACTTTACGTTACTCTGGAGAAGCTATTACTCAATAAATCCCTTAGAAAGCTATGTAGTCGCCTATATGATAAAGAGAAATTACAATTTGTAATCGACGAAGCCCATTGTATTTTAGAATTTCATCATTTTAGGTAAGAGATATGAAAAAATAAAGATATTCATAAGAATATATTAAAATAAAAATTTTTTAGGAAGGAATGGGGAAAACTAGGCATGCTGAAACAATACTTTCCTAATGTCCAGATCATGGCTTTAACTACAACTTTATCTCATAATAATGTAGAGGCTCTTATAAATAATTTAAATATTAATTCAAACCGCTTTGCAATTACAAAAGATGTTAATCTATTACGTGAAGAATTGTGCTTTTCAGTTCAAGCACGAAAGAATACCACAAAACAGATAATAGATTTGGTAAAGAGTATAGAAGCTGGTCGCGTAATAATCTATTGTGCACGGATTAAGGATTGTTCAGATATTTTTGAAATACTAAGTCAAGGAATAGAAGAAATATCATTAGATGTGTATAATGGGCAATTATCAGAAAATGAAAAAAGAGATGCAATAATAAAATGGAACAAAGGTCAAACACGATTGATGATTACAACATCAGCCTTTGGTTTGGGTATATATATGCCTAATGTTCGCCTAGTTTTGCATTATAATTTCCTAATGAATATGAGTAAGTATATATATTATCTTGGAAATGCAATTTTAATTAGAAAACAATACCTAATACTTCGCAAATAGCTAGTCTTATTCAAGCCTCTGGTTGGGCTGGATGGGACCAACAGGGTGGCAAATGCGTTATCCTCTATTCTAAGAAGGATATTTGTACAAATTATATTATTATTACAGATGATAGGGAGAGGTATTATTAATCATTTAATATATAGTTTCATTGAATAATTCTAAAATATGTTCAAATTTTAGTGATGAAAATGTTAATGAGAAGACTATTGCTCGAGAACTTTACCTGGCTGAAGCACAGCACAAGCTATTTGAAGTAATGTACTATTGCATGACGTCATATGAATGTAGACTTCAGTTAATATCGCGATACCATCAATGGCCAGAAAATCTGATTCTGAACGTTTGTAATTCTTGTGATAACTGTATCAAGCGCGAAGAAGATAATGTGAATCAGGTGGATGTGAAATTAGAAATTCTAGAATTGTTAAAGGTGGTAACATTATTGTGTAAAAATAATGATAAACCAATAGTACCCTTAGATGTAGTGGAAGTTTTTTGTTGCCTAGATAACACACGACTTCAGAGTAGAAAGTTAATATTGAAAGATCTTGATGACCACCTAAAACAAACATGGTTATGCACAAAATCATTAGTAGAATTAGCTTTAGCGGATCTTGTTTGTCGTGGTTTGGTCAAACAAACAATTTTGCTTGAACAAAAGACCAATACAATTTATCTAATGTCCAGCATAATAGTAGAAGGTATGGTGGATAATGCAGATTCACTTGTGCAAAAAGAAACATGATTATATTAAATAAAAACTTCATAATTTCTTTGATCTAAATAGTTACTTGTTTATTTCTTTTTGATAGTTAATATAT